TGAGGCTCAGGTGTGAAATGTATAGTTTTCAGGGTTTTTATCGGTTTTCAGCATTATTTTGTTATCGTTAACTCTGTTTTCCTGGGTCTTTTCACGTGTGTTATGAATAAATCTTCTTTTTTCGGTGCCGGTAATAGTTTTATTTTGTTGTATTTATCCGCGACACCTTAAAGGCCGGTCCGTGAAAATATTGTCGGGCATAAACCGGTCCGTGGTGCAAAAAAGGTTGGGGACTGCTGTCCTATATGATATATTTAACTGACGTTTTTTATTGTAACAACCAACAATTTATACAGGAAAATAAGTATTAACAAGGTTGGCCAAACTTTTACATCCCACTGTGAGTGTGAGTGCAAGAACCGATAAGCGGGACTGAGATCAAGCAGACAATTGGAGCAGGAAGCAGGAATTGGACTACTGGGAACCGATTTTCTGCAAGTACCGGTTCTCGACTCCCATACCTATGGGAAAACTATTGTTTGGTATGGGGAAATTAATTCATAGTGTCTTACAGTGTAATTCATTTGCATCGTAGAAATTACCATGTAAATGACCAGGTTAATTTTGCTCTGGATTGCTTCCCTGCACCTTCAGATCGGAGATGGGTTCTGACTGTTTCCCTGTTCTTTGCTATGTTATTTATAAGTTCTTACCAAGATAATGTGAGAGCAGTTTAAAAATAAATATGTTTTAGTGTTACAGCAAGTTGTGAGTATTTTGCAACAGCATTACTCAAGTTAAATAGACAATCAGTAATATTTTGTAATATTTTAATAAAAAACATGCTTCTTCCGTACAGACATGACTCATATCAAAACCACCATCACTATACTCTCCAGAGCAGCTGCTAAAAGAAAGGAGAATAAATAAGAGTTCATATCTTGTATTGATTTATTATCGTGAAATAAAACTAAACTACGGTAAAATTTGATTTGAATGAGCAAATCTCATCTCTCATCCGAGCTTCCTTCTCTCCTCAAACGTGAACAAGACAAAAGATTCCTAAACTCCACACTTGGGGCAGTAATTCATCCCCAAGCTGGAGTGGGCACTTGACCGGGTGAGGACCATGACCTCAGACTTGGAGGTGCTGATTCTCTTTCCTGTCATGTCACCCTCGGCTGCAAGATGCTCCAGTGTGAGCTGGAGGCCACTACCTGATGAAGTTATGAAAATGATTCATTTAACATGTTTGTGGTTCTCACAATAAAAAATACTTACTTGCTTGAATTTTAGGTTTTTTGTGTTATTTTAGGCCAATTGTATAAATACACTATGTTAACATGAAAAAATAACTGTAAATTTAGACATGAGGTTGTACTGAAAGCAACGATACCACAAACAATGCAAAGAAAACAATTTTTTAAGGGGAAATATAAAGGTAAAATCAAAAGCAGTCAAAAACGGCCAACTATACCCTGGACCCCAAGAGAATGTGGAACAGGGAAAACAAACAGGTCCAAACAATCACAGGATAACAAGATAAATGAAGTAAAACTAAATGCAAAACACAGGGAACAAAAGACTGCCAAAATAAAATGAGGCGTAACAAAGTAAACATCTTACATCAAGACATAAACTAAATAACTTCGAAGAGCATGTGTACAAGAATCCAAAACAGCTGTAACAAACTGCAGTTAAAGGAGCACAGAGAAATATTTGGACAAGCCTGGACCCAGAGGCCTGCCGCTAACATAGCCACCGGTTGACTGTCTGCTTGTGAATTATCTCTGCTTTGCAATGATTCCTACATCTCAGTCTGTCTGTATTTTAAGCTAATTAAAAAAAAAAAAGATTTAGTTTTATAAATCTCATAGAGTACAGATAATGCAACAAACAGTATTACTTAACCAGGCAACATCTAAATTATAAATTAAACACAACGTTAATACCAGCAGCCTGACACTTTTTAGGTCCCTATCCTACTGCCAAAACAACTGTAACAGATCTGGGTATGGACATGCATGTGGGATCCCAGAGGGTTTTCTCTGTTCTTTGGCACCAAGGCGTTGGCAGCAATTCTGTGGCTTGTGTGGGATGTTGAACGATGTCACTGTGGGTCGAGCTTCTTTCAGTAGATTTTGGGACTGGGAAGAAACCTTGTTGGGTTAGATTTTAATCATGTTCCATGAATCAATAACGAGCATTTTTTGTGGCTAAGCTGAGTGCACTGACCTACTGAGAGGCTACTTACATTTAGGAGTACCTGCCGTGGTGTGCAAACTACTGCTAACAGTTAAAATGAGACAACTTCTTTTCCCTCTCAGTCATTAGTTTGACAACATGTTGGCCGCAAAAATAAAAAAAGTGTTTTCATGTCACATGAAAGGAAAAAATTAACTATTTTTTTAAAACAAAATTTATATTTGAAAAAATATTAATGTATGTAGTTATATACAGTAAACAGTAAATGGCATATCTCTCCCTTTTCTGTCTAAAATCTCAATGTCATGTTTTTCCCTCAGATACAGTCTCTTCTTATCTTATTTCTTTACATGGTCTCACATTCTTTAGAAATCCCAGTGTCATCTCTGTCAGTAAAAGCTACGTAATGTGTTCTAATTTGATGTCTGCCAAAACTTGTCAGAACTGGTCTTTTTACATGTGTCAACACGCCATAACCACATGTTTGACTGCTTGTATCCCAGCAACCCTTGATCTGTCTCTCTTCTTTTCTTGAGTCTAAATTCAAACGTATTTGTGCAAGAAGAGACAAAACGGCCAAGAAAAAGTTTTAATGGTAATAATTATGAATCATTTTGGCAGATTGAGTTTAAAGTTCACCATTAGATACATTACAGTCGTCTTTTGTGGTTACTAAAGGCTTCCAGAAGTTTTCCATCCGTGCCATCATTTTCAGTCACAAATATACACTGAAAGGCTTTTAGCTCTCCGTTAAGAGTGGAACCAGCAATTTTTTGACACTTTTTACCTCATTAATTAATTAATAGAGCCACTTGTCACAACAGTGACATTCACTCATAACCCCATAGAGGAGCTGTATTTTGGCCTGAATGTGTTTTCACCCACATCTGAACATCATGGAAATGTTTTCTTTTTGTTAATTTAATTAGCTGTTGTATGCAAATATATTAACATATATCCACATATACATGTACACCAAAATTTCTGATGTGCCATCAGCAGAAAATGAAGATTAACATGTTGGTGCAGAAGTAAAAATACACAAAATATTTACAAAATGCCTCATGTAAAAAAAATATAAAATGCCAACTTGTGTTAATCTTTTTCACAACTTAATTTACTGCTACAATATATCTAGGGTATGAAAACATTCGGAATTTCTAAGAAAACAATAAGTGTCACTTTTTGTGAAGTGATTTAAGTCTGAATAATATAATGTAATTCTTATCCACAAAAAAGGCACGGTTGTATTCATATTTGTGCTGATGGGGAGAATTATGTTGTTGTTTTTTCCTGCATACCAAAAAACCCAAATATTGGCAGCCCCAAAAGGAAAGCTAGCAGGATGGTAATAATGTTTTTTAACCATCTGGTTCAAAAGGCCAGAAATAAATAATAAGGACTCTGCAAAGATTCCTTTCAAGGAAGGTAAGGACTCCCTCCTACTCTTTTACTCTCTTTTCTTTATGTCCAGAGTGTGTAGTCATCCATCAAAAGGCCATTTTTTAGTGTGGATTTCTAAATGTACTTTTTAAATGTAAAATGCAGATTGAATGATATGGTAACACAAGAATGAAGCATATTGACTTTGCAGCTGAATTCATTAGGGTCACAGATAAACAAATAATATTTTCAAAATGTCACATTTACACAACTTTCAGACAAGTAAACAAAGTAATCACTGTAGGGTGCTAATATTTATTGCTTCTAACTCTGTCTCCTTATTATTTACATTTTTGCCTTAGCTTATGTATCAATGTCCTCAGTTTGTTTTTTACCCATAACATAAAAGAATTATTTAACTCAGTTATTACACTTGTAGTTATTCATTATTTTCTTATGACAAAGAACTATAACAAATACTGCTATGCCAAATAAGTGCATAAGTGTTTGTACCTTGCAGTGACTCATTGTTAACCCACAGATGATTTAAATTGTAGATGAAAGCAGAAAGCATAGACTCACCAGATTCCAGCTTATTGACTACTTAAATCAGGGAGGTGTCTATTTACTGACAGACAGTTACACCAGACATACCCTCACTCGGCGCGCTACATCTACTGATGGTGTCATTAAGGTGAGTAATTTCACCCATGTGACTTATATAGAAATGCTGGGATTTCTGGGACTAAGTCAGGGTGAAGATTAGTTCAGGTTGAGTGTATGACTCACGTTTTACATTGTAAGAGTCGTTTGTGGGCGTGGCACTTTGTGAGCAGAGCTTTCAAGGTGGTATCATCAAGGTGTTCCCAACATACCGTAATCCATTTACTAGAAATAATCTCAGGATGAATATATATACATATCTCTATTCACACATCACAAACAGTTCAGTACCGACCAGCCACAATGTTAAAGCCACCTGCCTAAAATTGTGTAGATCCTTCTCATTCCACCATTTGATGATGTGAAGCCAATCAGAAGACACATGACTGAGAGCGAGACTTACTTCTGACTGTGGATAACCTGAATGTCTGCTACATGGCCCAGTATAAGACAAAATAAATATGAATATAAAAAAGAATTATTATATTGAACTGTTATGAGCTGGAAATGATCATGTCATGATAATTTCCCTGTATGTACTTTTAAAATGACGTATTAATCACCTGCAGACTGAAGATCCCCTAAATGTTATCTAACAGATGGTGTGAAAAACAAAAACTTGTTTCACTGTTGTGGCTTAGATAAAAGCTGTGTTGGTATAATTTGACAGAAGAACAGATGTGCATACTTTGGCTGGGAGGCATTCTCTTAGAGAAATTTCAAATTTTGACCCCTGTGCTATATCCATAGGGCTGATAAACTAATATATTTTTTCATTTTTTACTTCTGTATATTTGAAAATCTTAAGAAAGTAGGAATTCAAATATATATATGCCTTGTCCTCATAACACATTTTAACCATTGAACCATTTTTTTCAACCTGCGGCTACTATAGAGTGAAACCACACTCTGTATGGGAACTCTCCCTTCTTTGTTTTCATAAACATGAAATGACAGTAGCAGTTGTAGTTCTGTTTGACTTTCCTGTTGAGCTGACCTGTGGAGTTTCTTTTACTAAAAATGGGAAGTAATTGGATAGATAAAGTGCTTTGAACTTGGTGCTAGAGAAGCAGTAGACAAGTGGGTCGAGCAGACAGTCTATGTAGGAGAGGACCACGAGGCCATCAAAGGCCACTACAGCTTTGTGCTCGATGTAATCAGGCATATCTTTGACCCGAATGGTAAGCAGAACCATCCTGGCTATGGTGCAGGGGAGGAAACAGAATGAAAAGAGCACCATGACAGCAGTGACCAGAAATACCGCTCTCTTCAGCTTGGTCCTATCCCCGACTGTTTTTTTCCTGAGTCGGTTGACGATGCGCACAGTGCAGTAGAGCAGGATGACAAACGGGATCAGGATCTGAGTAAAGATTACAGTCTCTCTGATGCCATCCACCACATCCTTAGATAGGGGGATAAAAATAAAAGGGAATGTCAGCAGTCTAACCTCTGTTTAAAAATCACTTTGCATGACTGCTGTGGAGGATTCCTAGATTTAAAACAAAATTAAACTCTTATTAAACTGTTATAAGTATTAAGACACAATGACCTTAATTTATGCACGTGTTGTCTACAGTAAGAGAGAATAAGGCATGAAACAAGTAAGCATTACCTTGATCACGGTAGCATTTTCTTTAATGAGGCTGTAAGAGCAGTCAAAGTTTTTGAGCATGGTGGGGATGGTGAGAGGCAGAAGCAGCACCCAGATGAGGACAGAGATCTGTGGAGACTTCTTAAGCGCTTTTAGGGGACTTTTTCGACCAGGGTGCACCACATGAAAATACCGATGGATGGAAGTCGCTGTTAGGAAGGCGATGCTAGCTCCACGGTTTAAAAACAACATGAAAAGCATGGCTTTGCAGACAGCGTCATTGTTACTATTTCTAACTCCCTGGATGAAGGTATAGGCCTTTATGGGCAAGCAGATCAGCAGGAGGATGTCAGCCAAAACCAGGTTGAAGAGGAAGATATTATTTGTGCTGGATTTCCAAAACCTTAGCTTGAAAATAAAGAGGTGGATGACAGATGCATTCAGAGGCAAAGCCAAGATAAAAATCACAATTATTGCGGCTGCATAGAACTTGTACACTTGTATCTCGGCAGCTTCATCGTCTTCAAGAGGTTGTTCAGTTCCATTGGTGCTTTCCATTTTAGCAGTCAAAAAACAAATTGCCTGGGGGTCAGCAAATATTAATTCCAAGCTTGAAAACAGAAACAGATTCTACCCTGGAAGCATAGAGCAAAGCATTGTCTCTAAAGTGAAGAGGAAATCACTTCAAAGATCGAGTTCCATCCTGCAATCAAAACAGAAGAAATCCTGTCAAACAGGTTTCCTCGGTGTCTTTAGTTTTGGTCCTTTTTAAAACTTTAGGTTTCTTCTTTCAGTCCTTGAGTCATTGCTACTTTATGTCCTTTCAGGCGAAAGTCAGTACCAGTTCCAGTTAAATCTGGAAGTAAGTCAGTGTGCAGGTACAGTAGGCATCTCTTTTGTACTGCTGCTCTGCCCCCAGTTTGTAGCTCCTCCTTATTGCACGAGGGGGTGAGTCACCAGCTGTTATTGCACTGTTAGACCAACGGGACTTACATAGACCAAAACTCACTTGTAAAATAGATATAGAATATAGAATACAAACAATTCAAACATCTAACTACGAAGCAAAAGCACCTTTGTTTTTTAATCATGGCATGTAAACAAACTTTCTGTGTAGCCTCGTTAAGCCCTGACAAGGTCTGTGTAACCAAGTTAAAACAAGCACTGATAGCACCAGCTTGACTTTTGACAGCGTGACAGCGGTATGGGGAAACATTGTGGGAACATTTCAGGTTTTTGAGAAAGAATTAACCATCTTGCCTTTGCCAAGCTACTGTGTCACTTAGTTTATCTAGAATGACAGCTGTCAAGCATCTCAGCTCAGAGATTTTTGCGTTTGTATCACTTTTAAAAGTGCAGGCCTCTTATGCAGATGCTAAAAATGCCGCTTGGGGATGTTTGGGGAAAAACACGGGGTGGGGGTGGGTGGGGGGTGTATTGGCCTTAGGCCTCACTTTGCTCTGCATGCCTTCACTGCTTCAGCAAGTCCAAGCATCTCTAAAGAGTTAGATTCTCCCTCCAGGGTCATTGTGAAAACAATACTATTCATGATTTTAACAAGACTGGCTGAAAGACAGTTTTAAATAGTCTTTTAACTTTCTTTTACTATCTTTAATTTTTCTTTTTGTTTAAAAACATATAAAAAATTAAGGCATAATGTTCTTATGATAAAAGTATCTTGAAAGAGAGAACACTGTCAATAGAGAACTTAGATGTAGATGCTTCTGCTTTTATAAAATATTAAGAGCAATACTGTAAAACCACGTGATCAATGTTTTTTAATCAATATTTGTAGCCTGTCAGACATTAACCTGCTGTTTCCAGATTTTCAAGCCCACTTCTGAGTCCACTAGCATTCAGTTGTAACGTTGTACTTAAACTAACTAACGTTGATTAGTTTGATTATATTCAACTCAATTGAATTTTATTTATACAGCGCCAAATTACAACAACAGTCGCCTCAGGGTACTTTATATTGTAAGGTAAACCCTAAAATAATATATACTGAGAAAACCCCAACAATCATATGACCCCCTATGAGTAAGCACTTTGGCGACAATGGGAAGGAAAAACTTCCTTTTAACAGGAAGAAACCTCCGGCAAAACCAGGCTCAGGGAGGGGCGGGGCCATCTGCTGCAACCGGTTGGTGTGAGAGAAGGAAGAGAGGACAAAAGATGAGCTGTGGAAGAGAGTCAGAGATTAATAGCAAGTATGATTCAATGCAGAAAGGTCTATTAACACATAGATAGTGAGAAAGGTGACTAAAGAAGAAATACTCAGTGCATGATGGGAATCCCCCAGCAGCCTACACCTATTACAACATAACTAAGGTAGGATTCAGGGTGCCTCTCACACTGTACAAGTCACCGACCTTGGATTTAGCAAAACAGCCCCAGACCATCAAACTTCTTCCTCCATGTTTGACAGTTGATGCCAACACTGTGGAACCATCCCTTTGATACTCGATGGCATTCAAAGATCCTGCGTGGTGAACCGAAGATTTCAAATTATGATTCATCGGTCCATAATACCTTCTTCTAGTCTTCAGTAGTCCAATGACAGTGTTTCATGGCCCAGGCAAGCCTCTTTGTCTTATTCTGACATCTTAGCAATGGCTTTCTTGCTGCAACTCGTCCTGTCAAACCTGCAGCTCAAAGTCTTCTCCTCACAGTTGAAACTGAGACTTGCTTACCACGACCACTATCAAGGCTGTGCTTGAAATGGTTGTCCTGTGAGCCGCCTATCACGTAAGCCGTTAACTCTCAGAAACCTGTCCTCTGATTCAACTGTGGCTTTGGGTCTGCCAGACCTGTTCCTGTCACAGTTTGCCCCAGTTTCTGAGTGCTTTTGATTGTGAAGGAAACTCTACTCAGTGACACCTTGACTTTCTTTGCAATTTCTGTGGAAGAAATACCTAAATTTTTTAATGTTATGAGGGTCTTTCTTTCTTCCATTGTTAATTGCCTTTTTCTCACCATTTTTGTAGCATCACACTACTTTCTGCAGTACAATACTGTTCTACTGGTGCTCACGAACATATGGTACCAAGGTGTGTTCCAACACTACTTTTATCCAGGCAGAGTAATCCAGGCAATTTGAAACACCTGTAGGAATTAGTAGCACCAGCTTTTAAGGCTTGGTCAACCACAATTGCTGCAGAACAGCTTTAAATTGTTAACCATTTTGTGTTCCCTGAAAAAGGCCTTTTTCAGAACAGAAAAAACAGAGTTAACCCTGCATGCTGAAGTGGCAACCCCTAACTCTACTCCAGTAAATTTAAGTAAATGTTAATGTTTGGAAAAATTTACTTCTAAAAGTACTTTTATTGCACCATGTTCATTTACTCATGAGCTGCTGTAACATGAATCAAATGGCTGAATTGCCACCTCAGCATGCAGTCAAGTTCAATAGAGCAGCGGTACCGGGGTACTGGTTTCCAAGGTTTTTATCGTTAACTTGGTTTCCCTGGGTCTTTTCCCGTGTTGTAGTTGTGTATCTTATTTTGAAAGAAATATTTATGCATTACCATAGCGTCCAGAGAGCATTAAGGGGCAGAGAGGAGGATGTTACTGTCAATGTTGTTGGTGCATTTCAGGAGGACGCTGCTAATAAAGTTACACAATAACACAGTAAATTTGCATTTCTTATTATATTTACAAAATACCACACTTTTTGTCTTGGTCGTATCATTTTATTTTGTTGTATTTATCCGCGACACCTTAAAGGCCGGTCCGTGAAAATATTGTGTAGATTGGGTACATAGCCCCAAGTGCGATAGGAGAAGGATCGTTGAGTGCGAGAGGAACTGACCTGAAAAATAGGATCATGGCCAAGCTTGAAACCTGGATCCCCCGTAGCCGGTTACCAAGATTACGTGAAGTACCCTCAGAAGGTCTGCTAGATGATGTTAATGCAGCACTACGGTTGCAGTAGACGGCCGTAGTGATCGATGTAGCGGTTCCGAATGACAGCAATATCAGGAAGAAGGAACACGAGAAGCTGGAGAAATACCAAGGGCTCAGAGAAGAGCTCGAGAGGATGTGGAGGGTGAAGGTAACGGTGGTCCCCGTGGTAATCGGAGCACTAGGTGCGGTGACTCCCAAGCTGGGCGAGTGGCTCCAGCAGATCCCGGGAACAACATCGGAGATCTCTGTAAGAGCGCAGTCCTGGGAACAGCTAAGATACTGCGCAGGATCCTCAAGCTCCCAGGCCTCTGGTAGAGGACCCGAGCTTGAAGGATAAACAGGGGCGTGCTGGGTGTTATATATATATATATATATAAACATAAAAACATTGTTATACACTTAAGTAGCTTTTAACAATGCTGCAATTATTAGTTTTTATTGGCATGTAAAATTCTTGGTTAAATGAATGAAACCACACCTGTACATTCTTTACACCACAAACTATTGATTTGACAGCTATTCTGCAGCATTGCTTAACAAACTGCTTCACATTGGTTAAAGAAACATGTTTCACAACACCAACTCTCCCGCTTGGCTTTTGAAACACCTTGTATGGCCTTTTGATGCATAACAGAGGGGAACCTTGTGAAACTGCAGTATATCTGAGGCATACTTCAATAATTATTTACTATCCTGCATTGATGAAAAGCTAATTTTAGTATTCTTTGAGCAGTGAACCCTGCTCACTCCTTCAGTGTGTGGGTTGGAGAATTGGTACCACTGATGTTACATGGTCGATTGCATTAAGGATCTCTGTACCTCAACAGTTCTATCACATTAAATTTAGTTTTTCAGTGCAAGAGTTAAAAATATGACAATAATGTGGAAGCTGATAGTTCACTTCCTTTCATTTGGGAAATTACCACTGATGACTAATCCTCATTTTACCTGTCAAAGACCATCTGTTTGTAATTGGTTTTCTGTATTTATTTGAAATAATTGAGTATTGAGATTAAATTACATTCTGGCATTAGTCTGCAGTCTCATCTACTGATGATTACTTTGTGCGTTTTCAGCTGTTGGTACTTAGCTGGACAAGTTGCTGCCTGTCAGACTGGAGATAATTAACATAGCAGCTTTGAAATTTAGTGTAAGTAGGCGTGGTAACAGCAATTCTTATGTGACAGGCAAAGATTTAGTTCAAGCAAACAGCCTCTTGGTATAATAAAATTGTAGCTGTCAGTGATTTTAATAGAGATTTGAAAGATTGCAGATTGCAGGTGAACTTATCCCTGACACTCAAAATATTATGTCTGGAGGTGCTGTCGCTTCTAAAGCCTCAAAGCTTTGTCAGCCTTAAAGTATTACAAAGCAACAGCTGCTGGTAATTGACTGTTCATGTATTTTCTATCACAGGATCCTGGGAGAACACAAAGTGAGCTTTAACTCTTGACTCATCAGGAAGTCATCAGAGAGAGGTTTTAAAATCTGAAATATTATTTATCTTTCCTCAAACCGCAACATTTTCCAAATATAATAAAAAATTCAAGACTGTTAATAAGTTCATATCTCACATTGCTAAAAACAACATGGTCTGAATCAAAGTGGCACCACAGATGGCAGCCTTGGTACTGCGCTCTCTTGCACTTTCC